GTGTATATGTCATTTATTTTAACTACATGAGTTTCACGAGTTTTGACTCAAACTCGCTGTTCAGGATCTGGTATCAAAATAAAAAGTTTTCCCTGAATCATATTTTGAAAAATAAAGAAGGGAATTGTTTGAAAATGAGCCAAGGGTTTAATCCATGTACAGTTCCAACTAAAGATAAAGCAAAGATGCGTCTATTGTAAGAATTCGTTTTGCTATATTTTCTGACCAAAAAAGATTACAGAGAATTCAAATGTCCTATAAATAGCTTTCCATGCTAAATTTTATTAGAAAAGGCAACTTGCTCGAACAAAGCAGCATTCACAATTTTAATGTGTAAGCAAAGGAAAAAAAAATAAGTCGTCGATAGAAGGGTTCTCATCAAGAGCAATAGAATTCAAGTAAACTGAGTGCCACCCAAAACTGTTGGGAAGCATTAGATATCAACATTCATCTTGACAACAGGAATTTTACAAGTAGAAATATTCAAGTAGAAAATTAAAATTTTCTACTTGACTATTGTATTTCAAGGAGGGATACAAAAGCAAATGAGGTATTGCTATTAATTCTACAAAGAATACCAAGTGAAAAACACATCGATTATTTATGCTTTTGATTAGTTTTAAGATGAGACGTAGACATGTTTCATTCCTAAACAATGCTTGGAAGATGGATTTCAATGTTTCTGCTGTCTTTAACAGTAATATAATTTACAAAGACATCACGGGAGCCATCAAGAAAATTGAGGGTCAACGAAAAACAGTTTTGTTCTCCTTTTTAACGTTTGCAACTTTTGAAGCACAGTTACCTCATGCATTAGCAATCTAAGTAATAACTTCATTGATAAAAGCAGCGAAAAAAGCAAAGCAGTTTTTTAAAAAGAAAGCTGGTTTAGGGAAACAAGGAATGCAAATCGAATATTTTATCACTATTTCTCTCGTAGACTTTGAGTAAAATAGAGGTTTAGAGAAATGGTTCATAGTGAGAGAGTACTCTCTTAACTGCCCAATACAACATGGAAAGTCTGCATGCCTGTAATGTTTTTGCAAATTGCCTCATCAGATGTTGACGAGTGCAGCGCTGACGTCCATATTTGTGGCTCTAATGCAAACTGCACAAACACCAACGGTTCATATCACTGTACCTGTTATTCTGGCTTCACTAAAAGTGGAAAAAAATGTGTTGGTAAGGACAATATGTACAGATTACTTTTGAACTTAGTTTCACTTTTGTGTGTGGCACGCAGACGAGGCTTACCTGCTGCAGAGCACCGCTGATTTTATAGGCAGTGCCCCTCATGCAAGTTGACTCAATTTCCTTCGCTCGATCTTCATCTACCTTTCTGCTTTCCGTAAAGTACCACCACTCTCTCTGTCGAGTTCCCCTCCAGGCCAAAGTGTTCCATCCGAGGATGACTATTGACAGGGCTGATTTGTTCCTCAAATGTGCCCATTTCCATCTCTTTTGCTATAATTTGCGAATCAGTTCTTCACGTATATGAGTTTCATTATCTAGTTTCCCTTTTTCATATTATTTTATTGGTTGATAATCAAATACTGTAACAAACCCATGCCATATTTCCTATAAGGGTAGTTTTGAACTCTATTCAAGAGGGAAATAATTTTCACCTCCCACCACTTTTGGCTTTTCCGTGATCCCCAGGAGCATATATATTTAAAGAAAGCTGGAAACTAATTTGACTTATCTGTCATGGCAAAGAACAGTTTTGTTATCCATATAGATTAGTGGTACCATAGAAATGGCAAAAAATGATTGAATGTTTTTAAAATTTAGGCGAACATACATAGAGGAGGATTAGACCGATTAAATCTTCCATGTTCCTACAGATTTTTCTCTTCAAGCAAATAAATATCTTACATCAATTCCCAAGGAAATTCGTTTTTATCCTTTACAGAGAAAAGTTTATCTGCCGATCAGACAATTTAAAACCAGTTTGATCTTTGTCCCTTTGTTTTGCACAAAGGAGATGATAAAAAGTCTTAACTTAGAGAAAAATGNGATGTCCAACCACTCAGCGTAAAAAAATTCGAGAGCTGAGCAAACCGTAAAATTTGATTTAGGGTCCGGGGATATTGGACCAGGGGATTTAGTTCTTGGTTTTCACGTGACGTCATCAACTTTAGAAACAAGGAATTATCGATCCTTATGAGATTTTAGTTTAGTAAGTTAATAGTGCAGTTGAATTCTTATCTTTTGACAAATTTTCAGTTTGATTGGGTTTTTCTTGTTGTGATAAAGCAAGGTTAAATTTCTAAGCTATTGCTTGACACGATATTAACATACTGGCACGTAGGTTAAAGAAAAGAAGACATAAAGAGAAATCGATCGATAGATAGACAGATATGTTTAATCAACTATTTTGCAGGCAGAGCTGAATAACAGTGTAGTATGTACACAATATAACAATGATATAAATACCACTGATAATATTTGAGCAATTTCTCATGTAGGAATAATTTAAATATGCGTTATTGACCAAGCGTGAGGTCAAAATGGCTGGATAGTTCTTTCTTTGCATTTTTATGGACCGAGACGAAGTCGAAGTGCATAAAATTTTGAGAAAAGAAAGAAGCTAATATCGAACCCACTTGACCGGACAAGCTTGGTTAATAAAGGATTTATCATATTGCAAAAGATGTCGCTTTATTAAGAGTTAAGAATGACTTTTTTCCCTCTAGATCTGGGAAAGAAAGCCAGCTGTGTTTGTTGCACAACAAACTCACGGGAATCGTTTCTATTTTCTTTTTTTGACTATCTTCTGCCGCTTTTCGCCTTTCTGTCACCGAAATTTTCCGAGATTTACGAACGTAGTTCTTATTCTATTTTTTTTTCATGCTTGACTATTGTACTTGACTATTGTATCTCACGGAAGGAGGCAAAAACAAATCAAGTATAGCTATTAATTCTATAAAGAATACCAAGTGAAAAACACATCGATTATTTATGCTTTTTAATTATTTTTAAGATGAGACCTATGCATGTTTCAAGTCCTAAACAATGCGTGGAAAATGGATTTCAATTTTTCTCCTGTCTTTAACAGTAATATAATTTACAAAGACATCACGGGAGCCATCAAGAAAATTGAGGGTCAACGAAAAACAGTTTTGTTCTCCTTTTTTTCGTTTGCAACTTTTGAAGCACAGTTACCTCATGCATTAGCAATCTAACTAATAACTTCATTGATAAAATCAGCGAAAAAAGCAAAGCAGTTTTCTAAAAAAGAAAGCTGGTTTAGGGAAACAAGGAATGCAAATCGAATATTTTATCATTATTTCTCCCGTAGACTTTGAGTAAAATAGATGTTTAGAGAAATGGATCATTACTGCGAGTACCTAAAATGCTGTTTCGATCAACTAGCCTGAATGGGAGAGATTTTAAAATGATTCATAACAATATAAAAACTGCCAGAAGTCAGTAACAAAAAAGAAACTTTCAATAATCGATCTGCAATCTATAATCTTCGTGAGACAAACGACTAAACGTTCATTTAGGTTATTTTTTATCTTTGCAACGTAATCTAGTAAAATGAGATGTTACAGCCTGCCTCGGAAGTTCGCAAACCCAAGAGGTTGCCAGCTTTTAAATGATCTCGTCCCATTCCTATTAATCCATTGCTGTTCGAAAATGTATAAAAGCTAAAAAAATAAATCGAAAAAACGCAGATATGCTGACCTACGCCGAAACAAAGGTTGACGATTTAGTACAAGAGCGAATTTTTTGGCAGATAGCATAGAATCCGAATGGGAATTCTCGGTTGATCCGGTTGATATCCATTGAATTTTCAAAATCCACGATTCCTTAACTTTACTCTGTTGTAGTCGCATGTTTTCAGAATTTCTTTTTCCTTAACTTACACGAGCCGATCCGTAAACCAATCAAACTCTCTCTACTCCTGTCTAATATACAGATAGCTGTCGGAGACTCAAGTTTCTGGAAGTCAGAGATGGATATGCGTTGGTGGGCCATGCCTTTAAAACCATTTCATTGC